TCAGATCTCTGCCTTTCCCCAGCTGATGAATCTTTTTTTGAGAAGTCCTCACCTCTCTAAAAACCCCTTCATTGGCTACTAAGATGAACAAGTAGAAAAATAAAACCATCTTTCTGCATTTTTTAATGTATTATAAATATATACCTACAGTATATATGATATTCTAGCAGGGGTTTAAAATAATATAATTTTTTGAAAAATTATGTAACCTCAACTGATTCCTTGTGGTTTTTGTTTTTCAAATTTAAAAGAGCTACAGTATTTGAGAGCAAAGGTTCAGAATGTTCTATCTATCTTTAAGTTAGGCTTTAGAAAAATTCCACCCTTACCTTTTCACAATTAGAAAGGTTATAAATAATGTATTTGGCTGAAAAGGAAGCTCAGCCTGTGGCAGATGGTATCATTCTAGAGTACTGGGGTTTCTGTGAAGATGGCATTCTTTCAGATCGGAACTTCAGCAGACTCTCAGAAAGAACCGAAGCTCTTCATAGGGAGTAGACATGTGCTTTATGGATCTTAGAAAAGCTTACAACTTGGCTCCTAGGATGAGAATATTGTGTCACACTGGGGTTATGAGACCCACAGCCAATTTCTGCCGACTTTGAAATTGTATTTCCCAACACTGGAAACTGTGGCCTATTTATTGGTTGGTATACTGTGTAGCATTTGAACTTGGGATTTCAACCGACTGAGTTTTGTCAGTTGGTTTATTTTATTCAGTGAACATTGATGTTTTATACAGACCAGCCACTGAATAGGAAACTTGCCATACAAGTTGTGTCTTTTTCAAAGTGCTTTGGATAGCTCATATAAATAGACACTGAGAGAGAACTGGAATAACATAACCACCGAGCACTGCAACTTCCGAGACATCTGTGTGGATGTATTTTGAAAAACCTGGGAAGGGATCTCTTGCAAATTAATGAACAAAGGTTCTTGAAACTATGATTTCTGTCACGACAGCCAAAGCGATGGATTTGAAAGATTCGTGTGACAACAGTTAAGCTGCCATTACTTTTGACCTTTAAGGGGAAAAAGAGGGAAGAGGATTTCTGGTGGCTTGCAGTAATGACTTTTTTTAGTGACCCTTTTCATTGATCACCTAGTATGTGACCAGCCCTGTAATGAGTCCAGGATATATTGAGATGAGTCTTTAGGCCCACAGTTCAGTGGAAAATAAACAGCAGGATGAGTGCTCTAGTGCAGGGAAGTTAGGAAAGGCCTCATGGAAGCCAGGATGCCCAGGCTGTATCCTGAAGGATGAGCAACAGTTAGCTAGAGATGGAAGAGGGCATGGGTCATGCATCCAAGCCAGAGGAGTGGTGGTGCCTTCTTGATGCTGTCTACCAGATACAGGCCAGCTTCAAAAAATACCACCAAATTGGAGTATGAGAAGAAATGGAATATTTCCCCTTGGTGTTTTCCCTTATTATTACTTGACCCAACTTGTAACTTAATAATTTCATCAGTATACTTCATTATACATTACACTGAAAATACTGTATATCATTTGAAAATTTTACCTGATACTCCTTTGATATTTAAACTGTAGTCATCTGATATGAAATGTGATCATATAATGAAAGCCCAGTGATGAGGAGGTGGCAGAGGGTTGTCATAGTAATTAATATCTCTTAAGTATATACGTAATATGTTACAGGCTCTTTGCTAATTGTAACACATCTATTATTTATTGTCTGTCCAAGGGTAGATAGTATGTCTCTTCACATCATTATTTTCTTACTGACTTGTCCAGTGCTTGGCACATAGTAGAAATTAAATAAGTATATGCTGAATTAATTTTAAAAATGCCTGAATGGGTGGATTGTCAGAGCAACTCCGTGAGATGTGTGCTATTATCATTCCCATTTAGCATAGGAAATTGTGATGGAATGGTCAACTATTTGACCCAAGGTCATACTACCAGTGTGTGATACATCCTTACCCGAATGCATGTTTATTTCTATTCTGTTTTGTCAGATGAACATTTAGTGTTTATTTTGATATATGCCAGGCTTGAGCTAGAAAATAATATGGTACCCCAGACCTGCGTGAACTCACAGCTTAGTGCAGTCTTTTTAAACCAGTACCTCCTTTTAAATGACACAAGAATCCCAAGCCTTTCTAACATGAAACTTAGTCTACTATCTGTACATCCCCACCACCTAGGAAAATATTACCAACTATGACTTTCTTTTATTTGTGTTATCAAAACAATAGGTGTTTCTTTCCTGATGCTCTAAGATTACACTATTGAATATGATTTTCAAATGCATGTGCACCACAAAATTCTGCAGTCTCTTCCCTGCCTTTGAAACCAGCTGGCTGTTCTACTCCAATGCTATGCCTAAGTTTTTAGTAAGGATTTTACCACCTGATCAACACATGCATGACGGGGGACACACACACACACACACACACACACACACACACACACACACACACCCCCGAGGTAGCTATATGATCAGTCTCATTGGACAGATTATTGCATGTTGTTCCAATAAAAATAGACGTGACTCTAAGTTACCTGAATTAGGAAATAGTTCCCAGGGAATCCAAAAAGTTGCTTTGTCATGCATTATAAGTTATGGATTAGCCTTTCATGTCTGTCTTAGGCTATTATTTACACTAATCAGAGTTTCCTAAGCATACACCATATGACAGAAAAAGCACTTAAGCCCAGAGCCTACCGCTTTAGGGTTAAGCAGGGTAGGGGGAAGCTTCGATGATGATGCACATATGGATATTATTTTCCATGTATGGATAGTAATAAACTATATAGCACTACTACATCTAACATCTAGTTTTATAAAACTATTTCAGATTTGTTTTCACATACACCATGGATTCTTCCTTCTTCCCTCGTCCCCTATACATTTTCCACTGTTGATACACCAAATCACATTAAATTGAGATGATCTATTTACATATCTGTGTTCTTAATAGATAGTAAACTTCTTGTAGGCAGAGGCTGTGTCTTACCCATCTTTGCATCCTTAGTACCAGCCAGGATATGGTAGGTGTGCAGCAAAGAGAATATTCATATATAGAACTGTTGGCAAACTGAAGTATACTGGATGTTTGTCAAAAACCTCAGCAAAATTTAGATATTCCATACACTTCTAAAAAGTAAGACATAAACTACATGTAAAACTTCCATGTGTTATTATATTAATATTTAAGGAACTGTCAGAATGTCTAGGTAAAGAGTAATCATTTAAAAAAAAAATTGGACCAGAGTGGAAAAACATGAACTGTCATCCATTTGCAGAAGAATCGCCATTATCCATCAGCGATCTCAATAGTATTTATTAGTGTCTGACTTTATTGATCCCTTATTACCAGAGAGTAAGTGAGATCGAAGCTGACAGATCAGGTAATCTTCTGGCTCTGGTTTTGGCAACTTTGCTAAGTGTCTTTTTACGCTGTGGACTGTGGGAGGCTCTTAGTGAAATTGCAAGCTATTGGATTAATGGCAAAGCATCATGAACACATTAAGAATGTCTTTTTAGAGATATAAAATGTGAAAATGACTATAAAGCAGAAAGTGTCAAAAAAAAAAAAAAAAGATATCACCGTGCCTCTTAGGAAAGATAGCTGTGTTTTACATAAATAATGCAACCCCAGCTTATCCTTCACTGGAAGTTCTTTAGAGATCTCCCAAATTTACATATTACGGAAATGTGTGCATGCTACAGAATTAAAACTAATAGTGGATGTCAGGAGAATGAATAATAACCAAAAGAGCTTTACATTAGAGGTAACTTAAAGAAGATAATTATATAAAAATACTTTTGTCCCCAAACTGGCTTTTCTGGTTGTTCACTGCCTCCTTGAACAATGCTGCCTTCTGTAAACTATTATAGACCAACTGATGTCTGAAATGCGAGTTCTCCTGTTTCTACACATAGGGTTGAGGGATGGATTGGTGCTACAAAATCTTACTCCTAAGACCCATATTTTCTAGTAACAGCTTACTTAAGCTGTTACTAGAGAATATGGGTAACAGGTTAAAATGGACCTCAAATTTAGTTTACCATAACCAAAATTTTCTGGGAGGAAAACACTTGTTGAAAATGATTTAAAAAAAAAAAAAACTCCCAGTAATAAATTAAAATCGTGTCTTCATTTTTGTATGTTAAAGGGTTGACCCTGTTTTCAGGGTAAAAGCAGGATTTAAATTTACTAAAAGCAGGATAAAGAAAAGTCACAATAGGTCATCTTTTTTGTGGTATCCTTGAGAAATTTAGTAGCGTGAAATGTATAAATTTAAAATTTTTATGGTCAGTGAAATTCAAAACTTAAGCTTTACTGTTGATGAAGCCGGTAATAAGATTGCAGAATGTCTTTCTCTTGATAAAGGATCTCTGTGACTAGTTTGTTTCTTTTCAAATATGGTCAGTTAACCTTTGAACAGTGTTAACACACCACTTTAAAATAATAGAGTGAAAAGTGCAAGTGCTGTTTCTCAAATTGTAATCCCTGGGGATCCTGGTAAAATACGGGTGCTGAGTGTCCTGGTCTGGGGTAGGGCCCAGGATTCTGCATTTCTAACAAGCTTCCAAGTGATGCCCATATTGCTGGTCCCTGGTCTATATTTTGAGGAGAAAGGATGTAGAGTCCAGTCAAAAAAAATCTCAAAGTGGTGTATATTTGTGAATCACAATTATAAAGTCATCTTCGTGTATTTAGATTTATTGGGACCAGTGAAAGTTTGACAACCTAGGAATAGATAACGTTGATGGAGATTCAATAAATGCTAGAGCAAAGTCTGTGCGTTTGATAGCTTTATGCTGGTCTCAGTGGGCTGTTACTTTCTACTTAAATAAGCATTTGATGATCTACTTAATGAATTTCAAGAAATCGAAGCTTTAGGCTAAAGTGTGAAACAAAAATGTATTGGTACTCAGTTGATTAAAAAAAAATACAATTGAGATCCTTCCTGTGTTCCATCTTGTGCCTCTGTGTATTACAAATGTTCTCCCCCCTTCTTCATGCAGAGTATGATTTCTTCCATTGTGAACAGCACTTACTATGCAAATGTCTCAGCAGCAAAATGTCAAGAATTTGGAAGGTGGTACAAACATTTCAAGAAGACAAAAGATATGATGGGTAAGCAAAAAAACATTGCAGCGGTGGCTACATACCATTACATGTCATTTGGGAGTTTATCAAAGTCACATCTAAAGCCAGGTCTTTTGATTGCCCAATTAGAGATCAATTTAGAATGTTTCTTTGGGGGTGGGAAGTGGGTATGAGTATAATGAGATAATTAAATTCAATAAATGTTTGTGTTTAAATCAGCCAAACTGACTTGGTTGTCAGACATGGCAGGAAATCGAGGCGTGAGGAGGGGAGCTGTCATTTTTTAACATCTCAGTGAAGACCTAACCAGGCCTTGAATAACTAATATTAGCTGTGATTTCTCTCAGTGATAAGTCCTGCTTTTAGGTTTTTTGTTTTTGTCTGAGGGAATGAGAAAGTGCCTATTTTTATAATCAATTTTTAAGGAAATTAAACTTCTTGAATTAAACTATATTTATAGTTTCCACAATAGAGATCAAGTGATTTTTATCCCTCTAACCCCCAGCTTCCGTGGATGGGCACTTTGGTAAGCATATTGCTTTACCATCATACCAGAACAATCATTGTTTCATTTCTAAACTTTTAATTCCAAGATAGCATCCTCTCTTAACACATAACTTTAAGTGAATATTTATTATGCAAGAAGTACAGTAAAATCTGCAGTGTAAAATGACAGATAAAAGTTGTGTATGGTACCTAAGTATTTAGATTATGGCATTTTCTCCCTGTTGAGTCTGTTAATGTTCTCAAAAGCAAACACTGTGATTAAGGGTAATGTTTTAATTTTTATTAATATTCTCCTTCACATACTTGTACCCTCCAAAAATATATTTTAAGGTAATATAGGAATGCACATTATGTATGTCCTGTTTTAAATCTATTTCTGTTTATTCCTTTACATTCATTTATTTTTTTCTAAAAAATCTTTAAGAAATAAGAAAACGCAAATGTTGAGCATGTTTTAGCTCTTAATATTTGAAGAGAAACCATTTGTCTACCAAAATGGATTCTTTGCCTTTTATAGCTTAGGGCTGTAATGAAGACAATGTATCATTTTTGGAGTAATTGCTTGAATTACTATTCTCTGTGAATGGCCCACTTGGGCTGATAGCACTGGTAGAAATTGAAGGTTTCTTCCCCAATTCTTAGTTATATTTTTCATGTATCAGGAGCTATAGCACTATGATAAAGTTCCTCTAAATATAAAACCTGCATATTTAATGAAAAGAGAATTGATGATTAAAATCAAACTAGAGTCTATACGTGGGAAGTCAGTATACAGTTTGGAAAGTCTTATTTACGTACAGCTTCATGCTCAGCCTTTCCAGGCAAGAACATCAAACCAGTCTCCTCCTCATACAGCAAAGCATTTACACACTTAGAGATGATGCCCAGCCAATCCTTTTGAGGGACCTAGCCAAGGGAGAAGCATTCATCCCGGGTAGGTGGGAATAAATTGCAAAATCATGACAGCATCACCATTGTACCAGAACGATTCCCTGCAAGATTGTCTTTTGCATCTGGTGATGGTCATAGCTTCCTGAAGAAAAAACATTTGGATCTTAGCAACGCTGGGTATTATGCTGGCTTGATACACAATACATCACTTGCTTTATTCTAAAAAGTATTTCCAGATATACCTACCACCCATGATGGTTAGAATTAAAATGAAACAGTGAAACAAGGCATGTAAGATATTCAGCACAGTGTTCAATATACATTCCTTTATTATGATCATTGTACCCACTTTTATTTATTACATTGACTCCTTTTATTCACTGCTAGGTAAAAATTGAAAGTAGGTAACATTTTATGTCATACTTTTTCTTTTACACCTTTTTCCTAGAGTATAAAGGTAATGAATATCATGAGAATATATTTGTACATTTTTTAGTTGCTTATTATAAGCTTATTTTCTTAGCTCACTGTTTATAGTCATTGAGCAAATGACATTCTTTTAGAAGCCATTTTAAAACATTGTTGCTTATAAACCTTCTTGGGATAATAAGTGAGAGTGAACAACTAGTTGGAAAGAATTTGGTATAATTGATTTTATGCCTTAAATCTAAACCACATTTTAAAAATGAGATTAGAAGTGCTGTCCCACTTCCAAAGTTTATAGAATTTTTCAGAAAAGGAGAGCAAAAACACAACCTGGTAAGTTGCAACTTACGCCCTGAGCCTACCCTTTTTTAAATTTAGGAAGTGATTAGAAATCTTTATCAATGCCAGTCATTGTTGGCTGAATGTGATTTCACTTTTTGTCCACTTTAGTTGAAATGGATAGTCTTTCTGAGCTATCCCAGCAAGGCGCCAATCATGTCAATTTTGGCCAGCAACCGGTTCCAGGGAACACAGCCGAGCAGCCACCATCCCCTGCACAGCTATCCCATGGCAGTCAGCCCTCTGTCCGGACCCCTCTTCCAAACCTGCACCCTGGGCTCGTATCAACGCCTATCAGTCCTCAATTGGTCAACCAGCAGCTGGTGATGGCTCAGCTGCTGAACCAGCAGTATGCAGTGAATAGACTTTTAGCCCAGCAGTCCTTAAACCAACAATACTTGAACCACCCTCCCCCTGTCAGTAGATCTATGAATAAGCCTTTGGAGCAGCAGGTTTCAACCAACACAGAGGTGTCTTCCGAAATCTACCAGTGGGTACGCGATGAACTGAAACGAGCAGGAATCTCCCAGGCAGTATTTGCACGTGTGGCTTTTAACAGAACTCAGGTCAGTTGTGTTTCATAAATGGTTCTGTGCTGTCTCCTCTTTTTTTTTCTTTAGTTCCATCTATAACTAAAGTTTATTCTTTTACCGTACTAACATTTTCTCTCTCTCTTGATGTGATCATATTACCTATTCCTGGCGGTGCCTCAATTTTATCACTCCTTTTCCTATATTTCTGAAACAAGGGAAACCTATGTGCAGATTGTTCCCAATTCAGGGGCTTTGAGAGACGAATTAAATGTCAAACATATTTTAAACTGGCATTACCTATGCTTTTATGTAATGGAATCATAAACTGTTTGTAGTAGATGGTTAAGAAGAGTTTCATGACTTGGTTAAGGCTCATGTTCTACTGATATCAGACTTAAGTATGTAAATGTTCCCTGTTAAAGTTCTACATCTTTGTTGTCTTTGATACCTTGGGAGCAATAATCCACTTAATTCTAAGCAGCCATTTTGGAAAAAGATTATATGACTCATTAATATGCTTCTAAGCTTTGTGCTCTCTCTCATGTTATTGTCTTCCAAACTTCATTCTCTAGACCAGGCATCAACAAACTTTATTCTGTTATTGACCAGATAGTAAATATTTTAAGTTTTGAAGCACATAAACTCTCTGTCGCACTGTGGAGTAATAAAGCAGCCATAGACAGTAAATGAATGGCAGTGGGTATGGTAGTATTTCAGTAAAACTATTTACAAAACAGGCCATGGAGTAAGTGTGGCTGGCAGGCCTTAGTTTGCAGACCCATTTTTAGAGATCTTACTATCCGGTTATACACCTAATGTGCACACCTTTGTCCTCCTGGGCCAATTCCTGTGACGATATTATCTATCAGCATGGAAGATGTTTAAGAGAGTCATGGAGAAAAAGTGATATATATGAGAGGTCATAAGATAAAGTATTTGAGAAACCCTAAACAAATTGACTCTGTTGAACTGTGAATGAGAATTTTTTTCTTTGTTTGGAAACTAGTGTGATACATGATATATATGGTATTTAATTTTGGCTCAGGTACACCAAAAACAAAAAAACCATAACTTGGATTAGAATGAGGACATTATGTCTTTTCAACTTTTTTGTTTTACCACTGTTCTTTCTTTTGTCAGTTTATCTTGTTCTTGGTCCTGACTCACATTTTCCTCTCATATTTAAGTTATTTTGTTTATTACATGATTAAAAGAATAAACTTCTGGTACAGAAATAATCTAGTATTAATTCCTAGTTGGCAGAGTTTCCATACCTAGGAGAATCCCAGCTGTGACTTATTTTTGGCTTGTCTTAACTAGATTGCGAGTAGGAGACCTGACAAAGCCTTTAATTCAGTGTTTGTTTTCAGTTGATTCATCTGTTTTTTGTACGTTTGCCTGTTTTTAAAAGGGCAGTTGCACCAGGCTATGTCTCAAGTTAAAATTATATGGTTTTACCTAGTTCCATATCTTTACAGCTTAAAAAAAGTGTTCATTATTAGCTGGTAAATTTAATATGACACCTATATTCAGTTGGGGGATAATTATTGAAAATGAATGACTCAAAAGTCAACCCTCTAGGTATTCCTGTTTCTGGTAGCATTCTTTATTTTAGTAAATATAGTAACTACTAATAATTCCCCCTCCTAGTCAAAAAAAAAAAATCTCTACATAAGAGTTCAATAATGCTTTTTGAATTGAGTTAAAAGCCCACAAAGACATCATGACATAGACACAAATGATATGTATATATACAGTTACTGGTAAGTGTTTTAAAAATTGAGCAGTTATTTCTTAAAGCACTAAGTAAGTGTCCTTTATATAGTGAAGAATGCTAAGAGGGTAGAACTCGGAGAAATGAGGATAAAGTTGCCACCCATCATTACAGCTTTTCTTCTCTTGGGTACAGCCAGTAGCTGTAACATCATTATGAGCAGTTGGCCATTTGTTTTCGTTTTGGTCCTTAAAAGGACAAATTCCACAGTAGCTACAGGATTTGTTACTAGAAGAAAGGCAAAATTTTCTCCTTTATACCATATTAATCTCTTTGAAAAGGTAATCATCTCTGTGGTTAATATCAAAAACAGTGACTTAATTTTTCTGAGGGTGAGAGAATGAAAACCTTGTACAGCTTGATTATAGATACCTCCTTATTAATAATAGCCAATTTAGAAAAAAGTTGTTACAAAAAAATTATTTGGTGCCCTGGATTATGAAGGGTTTTTAAAGCTTTATATTGATAATTGGTACTTTTCAGTCGAAGTAGATGTAGGGCCATATTTAAAGCTGTTTGACTTAAGAGGAAATTTACACGTATATTTAAATATTAATTCCTCGAGAACTAGCTTTTGCACATGCAGGCATGAATGTATTTTCATCGGTCATTCTTAAAAACCACATACATACATACACAGCTGCATTTATTTTTTAATGATTATGCATTCGAACGACTGCATGTAGTGTGTTTATTTCAAAGTGTATGCATTTCAATAAAAGCAGGTGCAGAGTCAGGATATGGTGTGAGTGTGGGGTACGAAAATACACATGCTAATGCATATGTATAGGCAAGGAGCTCTGCAGAGTTCAATCACACATCACACATTTGTGTGCACCTAGTACAATGTGCAATTCCAAGTTTAAAAAAAATAATGTTAAATGTATACATACAAATGCAAAGTTATATGGTAAGGTCAGATAAAGACACTGTTTCTTATAAACAGCATTAAAACATTAATAGGATAGATAACACTGTTATGAATTGAGAATTATTTTAGTCATTGACAGCTCTGTATAACTTTAAAATCCTGGGTCTTATGTTTTAACTCTTGAGAATTTTCTCATCATCTTAATAGGGTCCTCTACATTAACACATGACCCTCTCTTATGAGTTTCACATATGACTATTTTTTTTAAGTCTACCTTTTCTGAAAATTTATGGTGAATTTATATAATTACTTGTTTTAAGGAATTTTTCCTCTTCTGAATTGATGGGCATATGTTCTTTAATTGCTGTTGAAGATACCAGCTTTTAGCATATGTCATTCATTCAGCTATGCCTACTTGATGTCTTTTTAATGGAAACCTATGGCTAAAAGTAGTTGCCAAAGCCTCTAGATTTATGCTTTTCAATTCACTTTTCTATCTTATTTCTATTTAAAGGTTCTGTTACATTCAAATACATTCTTTAATACCCTTTAATTTTTAAAAGAATAAAACGTAGAGTTTAACTCTAATCCTACTCTGTGGCTTTTACTCCCTTTTTCTTCTCCCTCCCCTTGTCTTTGGTATACTTTAATTTCCAGTAAAATAAAGAATGAAGATGGATTATTCAAAACTGATAACAGTAATGGACCATCATGTAATGTTTTATTGAATTTGAGTTCTGTAAATTATGTGGTGGAGAGAAATTTGCCTGCTTAAGTATCACAGAAATTGCTGCTATGTTTTTATAATTCTTCACAGTATAATTTTGAAAAAGTCCACTATCCATATCACTATTGAATAAAAGGTAAAAAGTTGCTATTACCCCAACATGACAGCTCTCTGGTTTGCCTGCCAAACGACAAGAGATAAATGTGTCTACTTACAACTTACTTGGCATGAGTCCAAGGTAGTAGGTGGAGTTTGAAAATTGTCTTTCACCTGGACATATGATTAAAAATTCACCAAACAACAGAGGCAGGTAGCCTTGAAGAATATTCTATGTATTTTCTTTTTAAGAGGGAGGTTACATCAAATCATATTTTCTTTTTGAGGGCTTTGAAGTTCCATGAAGCTGATAAAATCTATTTGAATCAGTGATTATGTTCAAAGAGGAGACAAACGGGAGGCCAGACAGTCTTTTTGTTCAGATTGGCAGTCTCTTTCACTTATCTGCTGTTTTAAAGAATTCATAATTAGCTTTTGGAAATACTGATAATATTTGTTGGAGGTTTTTTTCTTTCTTTTACAATTACTAATGAATTTTACTTATAATAACTTGTAAACTGTTTTTGGAATGTAAAAACAGGTTTAGGAATTCAGCAGTAAATTTATTCTTCAGTTGAAAAAAAAATAGAACTCTCACTTAACCACTATGTAATGACAATGCAAAATAATTTTATCTTTTCATATATATAGCACACGTCTAATTATTGGTAAGATGTGAAGTCCTAGTGAAAGGCAGCTTCTCGTTTTCAATAAAATTAATATTCATGAGGTACTGGTAACTTCCTACTTCCTACGTAACATACAAGTTCTCAGGTTCTTTTCAGACACAAGAATGACTAATGATTTTATTTAGTTTAAATTTGTTGAGCACCATTGATTCATGTTACTGATGACATATTTTTGTCCTGATGTTTCACATATTCTATGACATAAATAAGGTACCTGATGGCCTTGGTATACTATTTTTTAGCGTGAAGCATTTTTGGTAAAAGGTCACTCTTATTGTCCACTGTGTGAGGCGTTACTACAAATGACCTTGGCAAGTCTATACTATATCTTCAACTGTAGGAAATAGGAGATGGTGACCACATATATCTTGAATTCAGCATGTAAATAAGAATGCAGCTATTTAAGTAACAACAACCTGAACAGGACCAAAACATGCATTCCCATATCTAGGATCTGATAACAGTTATTTTGCATCCAAAATTATTCTAAAGTGACATTATTATTATTATTTTAGTAATTATAACTAATAAAAATGTTTTCTGACAATATTTTTAAGCATTTCCACCAGGGGGCACTCCCCTCATTGAAAGCTCTGGGCCAAAAAAAAAAAAAAAAAAAAAAAACCCAGAAGGTTTCTAAAACACCTGAGACTATCTACACTGGCTTCTTTAAGCCAAATACTACATTGGCTCTTGAGTGTTTGAGAGTTTGAAACATCACTATACACCTTCCACATATTTCCGGCAAACAAAAAACTTTGTTCCAGTAGAATAATTAATGTAAGTGGAAGTAAAATGCTTTGCCCCTAAAAATGCTTGTAAGCTCAAATAGGAAGTCACACCAACATCAAAATATAGATAGAGAACATTTAAAATTTTCTCCCAAGTAGTATGCTATCTTCCAGTCTAAGCCATACAGAAATGATTTAGTCTTATGTTAGCAAGACTTGAGAAAGAGTATTATTTTGTATGTTTTCCTGTATTTGATTTTCTCACTATAGATCTCTGCTGCCTCAGGAAATATTTTTGATAGAAATATGTGATATATTACTTTGTTATTTGGGATTTTTAAATATCTAATTTCAAGTTTCCCAAATAACATCCTAAATATTTATAACTATCTTTTGCCCTAATCTAATTTTTTTAATTATTAGACAATTAAGATAAAATGCCACAGAACTTTTCACTGTAGGCCCAAATGATTGCTAATAACTACCACTAGAATTCACTCACGGGTAGCACATCTTGTTCTTAAGTTCTATCACCTATTTGTGACTTTTTTTCCATTGTGGTCTGCATACACATGATCAATCCATTTAGTAAATATTTATCAAACATTTATGTGATAGGCATTGTGCTGGGATGATGAAAGTGAATATTAGATTATTATACTCAAGGAATTTGTAGCATATTGTGTTTATACTGATGTTTGCATGTATCCATTTTAGTGTAGTTGATAATATATTGCTTTGTCAAGCACATTTTTTAAGACATAGCATTTGGTGGAGAGGAGTAAAGAACAAAGGTTATTTTTTACACCCATTTTCAAACTTTTTTTTTTTGAGACCTGAATGTTTTACTTTCAGTATGACACATCAGAAACAGTCAATCTAATTAGTTGGCCTTGTGCAAATTAAATAGCTGGATGATTGACTGCCTGTTTGACTGAATTTTAGTTAAATTGACTCGATGTTTTGCGCTTGTGTAGACACAGTTGCAGCATTACTCGTTAGTATCCTAAGTAAAAGGACATGTGCCCTTCATACTTCAGTCGCATTTCTTAGGGTAAAACCGAAAGTTCAGGTCCAATTCTTAGGCTTTACCTGTAAGAGACTAAGTGAGAGACAACTTTAAAATGGACTCTTAAGCCTTCTGCACCTGTTAAAAGCTTTTTAAAATACCGGCTTATAAATCACTTAAAAAGTATCAGTATTTTTGTATTGTCTGCACCCAACTGCTACATTTAGGCAGTATGGTATATTATCCTTAAATTTGGGAACAAAACCAGGTTTGCACTTCTAACAAACCATGAAAAGAACAGAAATGTTTTAACCTTGGGGCTCCATTGTTGAACATGACAACTTACCTTCCTTTCCCCAATATACCTTTAACCATTTCTGCAGGATATTGGAAAGTAGATTTGCAATTTATATAGAAATCTTGACAAAATTTTATTCTGAAGCTGATATTCTGGCTAAGTGAAGACATGAAATATCTCTTGCTATTCTAAGCGTTATTTCATGTACAAGATTAAAGAGAGAAGGGCTGCTTAGCCCTTATAAAATAGAAATTTTTCCCATACTTGTGTTTCATATTATGTCTTAAACACAATAGGGAAAACCACCTATTTTTGAAAGAGTTCTTCCAAAAGTTAAAAACAATAGTTGAAAATTGATGTTCTGCTGTGGGGGTGGGGGAAGACACCTTAAGAGTTTTCTAATGGTTTATTAATTTCTTCTATCACTAATAACAATTTTTATTCCCTAAGAAATTTGATAATTACAGAATTTGATATTCTTTTCTTGGCATGCTATGATGGATTTTCGCAATGTTGAAAAGTAGTTAATGTATTTCAAATCTTATCTATGGTTTTTAAAGTTCAAAATTTAAACCCATTAACTAACGGTATAATACAGCAAGATAGTATTTAGAATCATTTGTGATAGTCAGTGAGGTTCTCTGTAATTGGTAAATTGAAAGGGTCATGTGGTGTCATGTACTTTGATAAGTTGAAGTGTAAGGAATAATTTTAAACATTGCCTGTGAAAATACAACATAAACCTTAGGTGATGATTTAGTAATAATCTTTGTTCTAATATGTTAAAATTCATTTTCTGGTATTTTCTTTGAAAGTTCTACTTCTCTAGAAATGGCTTTGTATCTTTACATATTGGGCTGTAGGCATTCCACTGCCTTTGTCTAGGCAGCTTGAGAACTATACAGTTCAATGCTGTTGCATTATGAGGATTTCATTTATTCTTAACTTCCCTGGATCGTCTTTCTGTGAAAGATTTCATGGCAAGTTAAGCTACTCAAAGGAAGGAGACCAATTAGGCAGTTTCAGTTTATGTTATATGTAAAGCAGATGCTTAATAAAATTAAGAATACAATTGAGGCTCTCTTCTCTACCACTTCAATTGTAACTAATATATTCCTATGCAGAATTAATGCCTCTGACTGTTCATTTTCTAAACAGAGTGGAAAAGAAAAGGGAAGGATCACCGCTGGCTGGGCAAAGCAGGGGAGCAGGCTCACCCTGTGCCTTTCATTTCCTGCAGGGCTTGCTTTCAGAAATCCTCCGAAAGGAAGAGGATCCCAAGACTGCATCCCAGTCTTTGCTGGTAAACCTTCGGGCTATGCAGAATTTCTTGCAGTTACCAGAAGCGGAAAGAGACCGAATATACCAGGACGAAAGGGAAAGGAGCTTGAATGCTGCCTCAGCCATGGGTCCTGCCCCACTGATAAGCACACCGCCCAGCCGCCCTCCCCAGGTGCAGTCTCCCTTTCCTCTTTGCCTTTGTTTTTCTTTTTTCTTTTTTTCTTTTTCTTTTTTTTTTTTTTTTTTTTTAATGCTTGAGGAAGAATCTCAGTAAGAAATTAGATAGATAGATACATAGATTTAGATGTTTTTAAATTCATAGAGTTGCTTGAGGAGAATTTGGTCCCAAATCATTAATTCTGATATAAAAACAATAAGCTACTAATTAGAGAGAAGAAAATTGCTTTGTGTTCCTTTTTTCTTTGGGTTATTTGGTGGTGAAAGTAGTCTTTAAATGGGGTATTTGTCTCTACTATTGTTATTAAGAAGTATTTTAAACTCAGTAGAAAAAGAATAAAGTCGGTTTTTTCCCAACTAGTTTTAGAATCGCCGTTTGAATAGTAAATAAATAAAAATAAGTAATTTCATTTGTATTTATACTTTCCAATACGAACTGCAGCTGGTACCAATTACACACCATCTCGTTTGTAATCTTTCATAATTAAGTTTAATAAAATCCTTGAAGGCAACTTTAAATGGAGCTGATAAGGAATTCTATCCATATTGCAAGATATGGGCACATTTTCTCTTCTTTAAATTTTTGTACTTTTTAGGAAAGAAAGTCGCCTTCCAGGTAACTTTGGGTATGTGACTCTGTATGGTTGTTTTTTTAAACTAAGTTTAAAAAGTAACCTCATAACTGTTAAAATTCAGTAAATCAATTTGCATTACAAACCATTAGATAAAAGTTTGCTAGTTAGTGTATTAGACTCAAAACCACAAGCAAATATATTTTCTTATATGTTTAGCTTGTGACATTTACAGCTCTTAAAAATAAGGTCAGCTAAAATTGGATAAAAATTGAACATAGAAGAAAAAGTTCAAATATTTGTATGACAATGTCACAGTGAAATTGTGTCTTGATGTTACTTTATTTTCATCAATAGTAGAAAGTAATCGTACATTTTCATGTATAGAAATCTAGAAAAAACCCATCTAACACTAAAGAATGAAAGTGCTACAGATACTCCATAAATAAGAAATAAATATAATATTTAGCCACTTTAAACTGCTTATCATAAGGTTCTGAAACGATTATTTTTTAGAAATGTTACAAAAATCCATTTTTGCTATTTTATTTAATGAAAATCAATCTGGTCTTGATGCCTGTAGGAACAGACTATAAGGAAAGCATTGCTATAATTGTGTATTTAAAAAGCCATGCTTCTTTAGGAGAAAAGCATGGCATCTATATACATACGTACACACCCACCTGCCCACACACACACAGTTATGGAATTTGATCTGTAAAGGCTGCTCTAAAATATTCCCTAAGATAAAGAATGAGGAATTCTTTATGTATAAAAAATATGACTTCTAAGAATGGTTAAAGAGAAAAGATAAACTATGACTTCTAGGAATGATTAAAGAGAAAAAATGTACAAAATGAAATAAAGTAATTTAGTTTAGTACTTTTCCTGTGGTGTTTGGTGTTAATACCCACACCTTTATCAGTTAACTTTGCTCCGGAAGTCATCACAGACAGAACTCTGAGCAGAGAATTACTTTACTTACCACTTAATCTGCTATACCAATAAAAGAATGGCTTACTTAAGACCAGTATGAACTTCATTCAACATTGAGCTGCTTTAAAAAAAAAAAAATAGCCAGATATATGACTTTGTGGTTCCTTAATACAGCTTTTGTTTTCTAATTTTTTTAAGACTCTAATGGTTTTATTTATTTTCCAAATGTGATTTTGGTATTGTTACTCATCAAGTTTTTTAGTGAGCTAAAGTTATACCAGTTCTTACTAAGTGATATTTCTTTTCATATGCTGTTAAGATACTATTGGATAACTTTCCTATATGTATGCTTAAAGGCTTTATCTGCTGATAAGCTGGGATGGAAAATATGTTTTATTTTTCCCAAATTATTAACTGGTTGAGCTACCCTTAGCTGTATTTGTTCTGAAGAGGAGTTGAGACCAAGCCCATAGCCAGGGTATTCAGCCAATGATGAACATATACAGTATATACACTATGTAGATTCTTAGTGAAACTCTTTCAAAGAAAACATTTCTATTAATGCAGTATTACTGGCCATCTAACCAGACACCAAAATGATTAACTGATAAGTGTGTATGTAATTTTATTTTGCTGCTATAATATGAATCTTTATTTATATATAATAGAGATCACTACCAGTTTATTCACATTCTTTCCTTTAATCATGAATCAATGAATTAAATTTTAAGAAATTCTTAATGTACTGAAGGTATTGTCAATGCAAAATGAATACTTTAGATTTGGAAAAACATGTTACAGAGCAGTTGAATTAATACTGTCTTGTAGCAGTTGAAATAATGAAATAATGCTTAAACAGTTGAAATAATGAAATAATGCTTAAACTGGAACCAGTATGCATATGAAAAATGAGTTAAAATGAAGGAAAACTGGAGAAAACCACAGACACACAGACTGCAAAATTTTGTCTTTTTAAATGTTACCTTTTGCCAAAGAGGAGTCCATGAGAAATCAGTGTACATTTCATTTCTCCCAAAATGAAGAGATTTGAAACCTATTTTGAGACAAATCTTGGGCTTGGTTTGCACCTGAAACCTGATTTCTTTCTAAAGAACCACATGTTAAAAGCAGAGGCCTTTAGTGTTTCACAGAAGACCCAGTCCCCCTAAGGCCTAGGAAACTGGATTCTCTTCCAGCTCTTTATAGAGTGTAAAACATAACAGAATATGATTTTGGAGTGCCCCTGGGGCATACCATAACAAGGACCTAGATTATAAGTCATCTTCAAGAAAGAACTTCTCTGGCTAGTCAGGCCCCACTTGGGGACACCCAGCCTCAGGAAACACGAAAGCTCCTTGCTGGCCCAGTCCAGGTGAGATGCCTCCTACGCAGAGGTGTCCCTTGTGCTCTGGTAAAGGCAGTTATGCCCGGTGCTTGGTCCTCTGCCTGGGGCTATAGGCTCTGAGCCAGACCTGGTTGCTGCATGCATGTTTTCACAACTTACATGCTCTAATTCAACAAATAAGAATATTTTGCACCTGATAATGATTCACACCCTGACTTGATAAAAGCTATTCTGAAAGCAGCTGAATGCGTTAATTCATTGAATCTTCAACCAACCGTTCCCTAGGAGAAAAATGAGAAAAACAAGTTTAAGGTTTATTCAGAGTTTTCCAATCCTGTTTTAAGCCTCTTGCTCCTTCCACTACTTCAAGCAACCTCCTCAGAATATAAGCAAACTTATTTTAGGAAGGCAAAAGTGAAACTTGGAGATCAAGTCTGTCATAGAGGATGGAAGGTTTTTATTGTTAGAATGGGAAGAGGAGTGTGTGCTAGAGCATTGTCCTCATGAAATCACTTGTTTGACAAATGATCTATGGAAGACTGGACAGTGGAATTTCTGGGATTGCAGGGAAAACGGCCCCTTTTAAACTTTGGTCTAATGAAAAATATCTGGAAGAACCCAGGCCTCCCAAGCTCCTTGGTCTTAAGGTTTCTTTTCACTATAAGTTTTGAAAGTTTTCCTGTTGAGTTTATTAAAGGAATTTTGTCAATAATAATAATTCATGATTATTTTCTGAGAATTATATATTTTACAGAATTTTAAGTGATGATTTCTACCTTAGGGGTATGTGTGTGTTTTTTTTATTATTTGTGCATTTTACTGTGTGTGACTTTTGGAGTTAATTTAGCAGTGTATTTCCGTGAAGACTGTTCGAAAGCATATAATTATTAAGTTATAGCTTTTACATGAATTACACAAGTCTTTTTTTCTTCATTTTTTTAATATCTTTTTATCTAATTCTTTAGTTTCTACTAAAGATGTCATATTTTATAACAATACTTTAGAAAATTTATGAAGTTAATATAAAGAGTATATGATTAATCTGGTAGTTGCACTGTTCTGTCTCTTTACAACAAATCCCTCTGCGATATAATGGAACGTAGATTCATCTTCATTTCAGGTTCAGTTACAGGAAGGAACTTAACACTTGGTAAAAAATTTATTTATTATGAATCCCTTGAAGATCTTTTTAAGATGTTGCTTATGTGCTTATAAACTGCTTCCCATTAATTGTCATCTTTTAAAAGCTGGAAGACTTTCATTAAAGTCTAGATTTGGAAAATATTTAATGCTGTTCCTGGAAAGAAAGACATATCTAAAAATATTAAACCATGGTGCTAAACACAGTGTTAATATATTAAAGTTTGAAAGTGGGAAATATTTTCCCTCACCAATAAGCATCCATAGAATAGGACATTTCTTATTTTCATTAAAAACATATATAATTTTTATATCCTAAAAAGTAAATTCAGATTAGATTTTAATATTAAAAGTCAATAGCTATTAAAAATTAGACATTAATGAACTAGATTTATCAAAGGGCCACCAAAAAGCAAGTCCAGCCTGTTTTAAAAGTTACGGATTTTTTCAAGTAAAGAAGGCCTATGTAATGTCATGAACTCTAAATAACTTTGTGGTTTCTAGTTGAGTTTAGATCTCAGCATTGCCCCACCAACAAATTGTTTAACCTGTTTGTTTTACGTTTCCTCAGTTTTAAAATGAGGCGATCATAATACCTCCTTGGGGCTCTTATGCATGTTAAGAAGTTAATGGACATTAATACAATGTCTGGCATGTAATAAATAACTAATAAGTGTTGGTGTTTGTTATCACAGTTATTAAAACTGCGTAACACTTTAATTTTGTTTGTATAAAAGCACTGTGCTTGCAGGCAGTTCCTCATGCATCAGAGTAGTGCATTCACCAGTCAAGGCCAAGGTAGAGTTCATTTTGTGTAATCTAAAAGTATGATTTGATGTACTTAGCAATCCATGAAGAAGCCAAATAGAGTTTTCATGGAAAAATGTGTGTTCTGTTGCACAATTTTAGTAAAATTAAAAGACCCTAGTACTGCACCCTTTCCCCACATGGGAGGGTAAGTAGTAGAAGCTCCAATTCTTAACTACTTCCCCGGCGCCGCCTTAATAATGGAGTAGTACACCCTACCTTGATAAAAGCTATTCTGAAAGCAACTGCATTTATTTTACCTCCTGTGCTATTTGCGGAGAAGAGCTGAACAGTAGTTTGTTTTGCCTGGAATGAACTACTTTATGAATTTTAATGTGTGATATAATATTAAAAGCTAAACCAGGATTAAAGAAGATTTTTTTTGTACTAAGCTAAAATAGTACTTAGTAGAATGAGGTATAAAAGATTTTTGTTTCCATTTTTACCTGGGGAAAAATTCAGCTTTCATATTTTTGAAAAGCTGTCCAAGTCAGTTTCCCTTAAGCAATGGCTTGTGGTTAGGGGAAAAGAATGTGATTCTAGAATTCTAATAGCTTATCTATGATAAGATGCATATCTGGGCCAAGAAGATGGTAAAGAAGAGCTTTTCTAAATATTTTTTAAATGAGTAATACAGAGATACTTTTTAACTTTGTAATTGTTAAAGTTTTACCCTCACATTCTTTTTTTTTTTTTTTTTTTAAAGAAAATGTTTCTTGTATACTTCTTTTTCATTTTTGTTTTGATTGTGTTGGCTACTAGGAAGTCATTTTTTAAGATAATTTAGAATTCTTGCTTTTTGATTGTAATTGCTTCATAATAATACAGAAAAATTAACCAAAGAAGTTTTTAGAAACAAAGTCACAGGGTTGAAACAAATGATTATAGCCCATCTCAAAGATAAATTCTTAAACATCATTTTTACAAAGGAATGAAAATTATTTTAAAAACAGATTGAAACACCAACTTTCCAAAGCTTGTTCTTTTAACTATTGCTTAGCAGATTGCTACCAAGGATCTGTTTCTTCGGTGCCCTGGACTTGGTGCCCCCCATTTCCATAACATTCAATTTTCAAAGCGATTGAAATGGCTTTTCTTTTCTCTTTCATTTAAGCAGTGAGAAAAAAATAGGTATTAAAAAGGACCCCATGGGGTGATCAAATCTATCCTTCTGCCTCAAAGCAAGACCACCCCAGAGCAAAGTTTCCAGTCTCACCAAAGCAACTTTGTGGGCAATTTATGGTAATGTGTTAACTCTTCTGGCTCTTAAAGTGGTGTTTAGCAGATTATTGCTTCAAAGCCCTGTATGTATTCTAGTGGCCTCCAGTCATTAGTATATCTCTATGAGTGCCCTTGCTTACTAGAGTCACAAAGCTAGAAGGAGAACTCCGGAGAAGAGGCCCAACCTCTGGTCACCTGTCGTGCCTTACCTGCTGTGTCCTCTTCAGGCCTGCGGGCCGACTATTTCCCTGCATTATATTTTCCATGCTTGGAAGGTAATATCATGGTGGAAGCATCTACCTACTTTCTCAAGATAAGCAAGAGGCGAATTATTTTGCTAATTGGCTAGAAATTAGTATTCAGCAGGCACATTTCAAAGGGGACTCCTATTTATGCTTTAAGTACAGAGAATTGAATCATCAAATATTTTAGGAACAGAGTAAAATAAATCTTAAAGACCTGCAACTTGACTCAAAGGCTGTATCATTAAAGCCAAAAAAATCATTTGTTTATTCTGCGGTGTCCTTCATTTTCTGTTTTCATGGTTTATGTGAGAAATTGTCCAGGATGATAAGTTTCTAGAGGATAGAAACCTGGGTTGTGTAAAGTACCCAAAGAAATGAGTCCCTTAAAGGATCAGTTTGCTGGAAGAAACATGGTTTTGTATCTGTAGTAATTTTTCATTTATATTTTTATCAATTTCCCAGTAAAAAATCAGCTACATGCTTTTTATGTAAATTTTTCAGGCTAGTTCATACTATTGCATAATAAAAAATAAATTTGGAGTTTTTAAAATGAATGATAGTAAATTTTGAAGTTGAGATTTGATTTTCTCCCCTAAAATTTTGTGGTATTTTCCTGCAGATATCTGCTTATCACTATTACCAAAGACATTGATATGATTTTTCACTCAGATTGTACTTTTTTGAATATATTAGTAAAGTCACTGATTATTTTATGACACAGGAATATTTTATTAAATATTGTGAAACATTATCTTACTGTCTGGTTTCACAAGTCAGAAGGAAATAGTTATATACGGGGTGCCAGGAAAAGATGAAATAATTATACAGAACAGCTTGGACATGCACATGTAAAATGCAACCAGCCTTTATGATAATTAAGCAAGGCACTCTACCTGCTTCATGGATGGATAGAAGATTTAAATATGCAGTTCTGCAAATGGCTTTGTTATGGAAGATTTTTAAAATGAAACATAAGAGGAAGACGCATAAAAATAGTCTAAAATTAAAAAGGCCATACTATGTAATAGCTATTAGTGATACAATTGTCTTTTAGGCACCGGGCAACCAGTGAAGCTACAGCACTGTGCATTATGATTTTAATTGTGAATTTCCTTTGTTAGGATTGCAATGGAAGGTAATTGGAGACAATTAGTTTAGGGTTTTCAAGTCTTTGAAACTATTTCGTTTTCCAGAAAACTTACTTTATGGCATTATAATTCCTGGTTGTCAGCTGGCACTTGCTGTCGTATTACAGATGCAATCACCTGTGACAATATGACTTCCTTAACTTAAGCAATCTGATCTCAGGGCAATAGCTATTGTTGAATGACTGCACTGTTGATCACCTCGATCATAAAAGGAGCAACAGTGTCCAGTTTGGATGCTGAGCCTGAGAAGCTTCAAAACAATTTAGCCAATGAAAAATGACAGCCATGTTCAAAATGTTTTGTAGGTGAAAACAGCTACTATTGCCACTGAGAGGAATGGGAAACCAGAGAACAATACCATGAACATTAATGCTTCCATTTATGATGAGATTCAGCAGGAAATGAAGCGCGCTAAAGTGTCTCAAGCACTGTTTGCAAAGGTTGCAGCAACCAAAAGCCAGGTAAGAGCCTCTGTTAGGCATTGAGAATGTTTATCTGTGTTGCCTGTGGAATTTTCATTAAAAGGAATGTGTATTTTCAGTATGAACTTGCATCACGGAGCAGCCTCTGTGTTTAGGATTATTTCCGGAGCTCTAAAATGAAACAATGTTCAAATTCAGGTTATAGGCACTTGGTTTTGTTTTTCCTAATAGCCCCTTCCCAGACCAAGGATTTTATAGTAAATATCCAAGTCAGTTAATAGTTATTTTGAGAAGGATATCATAATGCAAAGTAAGTTTCTCAGTTTGGTATGTTGTTGTAGAATAAATCATTGGAATCACTATTATTTCATTATTGCTTAGATGATCTTGACTTTTTTTTCCTATGAAAATACTACAGAACTTTACACAGTGTCTTCTGTTCCAGTGCAGCCATCCAGTGTGGCATTGGTGGTATAGTGGTGAGCGCTAAGTTCAGCTGTCTGCAACTATTAAGTGCACTTACTAATACAAAGTGGCACGCACACACACACCTTTGCATATTAATGATTTTAATTTTCTATAGATGTCTACATGACACACAGATTGATTACAAGTTGTCCAACTCTGATGAATTACAGCTGAATAGACTTGAATTGGAAAAGTTGTAAACTTCTACCAAATTAAATAACAGAAGGATAGATAGTACAGTCTTTTATCAGCATAATTGTCATATATTAATAATTGGTGTTCATCAAAAGTGGAATCATCTACATGAACAAACTTACAGTTACCTATAAACCCTTCTCCAAAGCCAAAGATACTTCTTAAAGGACCAGAAGAACACTAAATTCTCTTCCCTTTTGAAAAAGGATTTGATAACACTATCAAGGTGAGATTTAGAGGCAAATAGGGGCTCCAGGTAAGATTTAAACAACTTGAAATTTTATACAAGTATATTTTCATTATAATTAATGAATCCTCTTTTAAAAAACAGCCTGGCTGTTGTCAACTTCTGATAAAATATACAATTATGGGAGTATTTATAATTGATATATTTGTAACATAGTATCTTTTCAGATTTTCCTAAACTTTTACTCTATCGACATTTATAGTGTTACCTGACAGGAGTTTTCCTTTAGAAGAATGTTGTTCTTGTTTAAGTTATAGGCTTGATGAAATACTTAAGGGATATCTTGGAAATGTTATATAAAAATGATTAAACTCAAGCTGTGGACTGTAAAAATTATAGCTTTATAGGCCACATGCCTGCCTACCCTTCAATCACTGTCAAAGTGATAATTTCTACAATAATATGTTTCTTTTATTGTGAGATTCTAAACATCAAGTGCTGTTTAAACATTAAACTGAATTGTTTATGTTAGTGCTGTACTCAGCGTGTCATACATCAGGCCACCGTAATCTCTCATGGAATGTAAAATTCTGTCATGAATCATGGCTTGTATATCGGAAATTACTGTAATTTTGATTGGAAATTACAGGGCTCTTGAAATGTTTCTAATTATGATAGAATGTTAGAGCCGCTTTAAACCTGTGTGCTTCTTCAGATGTCTTCATTTACATGCCAAGACTACGCATTAAAGAGAAATGTCCTGGTCTCACTTTACCCTCCCCCCCCACCTACTTGCCCACCCCACACATCTTTGTTTTGGCTATTTAGTCTAATTATGATGAGGATCTCATATTTAAATATATATTATCTTGCCTTTCTTTCTGATTCTGCATTTTTGTTCTGACCTGTCCAATCATCAGTGATAATCAGACTGCATTCCCACTTTCCCCAAATCTCCGAAATGGAGAAACTAGACATGTATTATTATAATAGAGGTTAGCATTAAAACAAAAATTAATATTAAAACTTTTTAATAACCGTATTTAGTTGTCTGTCACCTGTCATTCAATTCAATCTACCCCCACCCCCGCCACCATTTTTCTTTCTGTTCCCTGTGATTCTTAGATCCTTTGCTATCTTTGACTTCATCCTTTTAAATGGTACCTCAGGTTCTCCCAGTCCTGGGCTGAGTTACTGATTTTGGAGCTGTTTAGACAGTAGCAGCAATCGGCTGATAATGTCATGTAGGTGATGTTCTAATCCATTTTAAACATCCCTGCTGTTTGTCCTCTGTCCTACACAGCTCCTGGTGGGTCTCTATTTCAGCAATGTCAGTAAGCAACTGCAGGCATCTTCTGTGATGGTGTGTTTTCCAAAACTCCAAAAGCTTTTAGCTAGTTATTCATTACTGGTTGAGAGAAAATTAAAGGGGCCAACTGTGGGCTATGGGAGTCAAGCAAACTATTAACTTCATTCCCTTGGATAGTTATTCTCAACTTCTAACTTATTCCAAGGTCCTAATAGAGCATTTTTGTAGTTTTGTCTTAGTTGTTCAGTTTAATGTTAGCACTACCCTGTTGATGAAAATATGTACAAAGATAGGTGATTGCTCAAAAACTGAGACAATCCAAAACCTGTGTGAATCACTAGTAAACGAAACCTGACTTAATCAGGAAAAGTGGCCATTTGCTTAGCTTCTGTTCTCATGCTATGTTTTGTGAAGGAAACAGAAAAACAAAAACGAACAAACAAAAAAAAAACCAACCTTCAAATCAGACTGACTTTTATAATGGTCAAAATTTTGTGCTTCTAAAGTATATACATTTAGGCCTCAGATACGTGTGTCAGGGCTTGCCAGAATGAGGCAGCAGCCCCTCAAGACAAAGGGTGTGTGAAGCAGGAAGAACCAGAGTCACTTCTGTCTAGCTCATCTACTTCCATCTGCTTCTGTGTCTTGCCCTGGTTGTCTGGGTTGACTTAACCATTATGTTTTTTGTGCTAGACCCTATAATGTATTATAGATTATCTACATTAATTTAGTAACCTTGTGAGCTATTATTTTCTTCATTTTACACACGAGAGTTCCTTAACTAATAAATATAACAGAGCCAAATCCAAATTCTTTGCATTTCTCCTGTTTTAGACTGTCTTCAGGGTTCAGGGCAGCGTCAACACTAAAGTAATACCCTGCTCTGGGGAAGAGGAATTAAGGACAGTGGACTTATTGATAGTAGAAACAGTGAGGGCTTTCCTTTCTTCATTGACATTCATGGAACACAAGGTTCTTACCAAAACAAAGCCTTCAGAATCCAGATTTTATCATACCGAATGGAGGTAGGTGTACATGGTGGAGGAGTCAAAGGAAACCAGCTCTGATCCATGCTGTGTCATTGGTGCTAGAATATTGGGAAATTTTAACTTTTGAACCCAGGATTTTTTTTAACATAGACGGTCACATGCTACAATGCATGGAAAAGAGCTTTTAAATTATATAGCTACTATACCCAAATGGTAACGTTTTATAATGTGCTAAGCAAGAGGTTCAGTCCTCCAAATGGATGAGAGATTTATTTATCATGTATTTATGTATCATAAATACCTTCCATTTTAAAAGGTAAAGCATGCTCTGCAGTGACTAATGCACAAAGTATTTTCAGTAAAAGAAACCAACTCATGTGGATTCCACCATTTCACATGTATTGTCTCCTCAATGAATAATAGATATGGAATTGTTTTTAACTCTGATAGAAATGTCTGAATAAAATATGCAAGTAAAAACTGAAGGTGGGCTACTTTTTGTGCTTGGTTAGGAAAGCAGGCTAATGCAAACTTTAAAAAGATGATAAGCTTTAAACATAATGTGAATAGCTACAAATGAATACACTTTATATTCTGGGTATTCAAATAAGCAGCAGTTTTTCCAAGTGAATCATATTGGAATTTTATCAAACATTTAGTCTGATAACATTCAAATAATTAGGAGACCAGAATTTGCTAATTTTACTGTTTAAAAAAAAATAGTTGATTTGGGTAATAACCATTACGGTATCAAGGTTCAGTTACTGTTCATTGGTTATAGTGTTTTCATATGGGAGATGGAAATGGAATTTTTTCCTTAATGGTGGCAGATGTTGGAATCTAATTTTATTCCACAGCAAACCCCTTGAGAGCCCTGAGACTTAAGGTGTGTGTCCAGCAAGGGGACATTAGCAGCACCGTAGGCCTTGCCTTGTACACTGAATTGTTACATTGATTTTCATGTTTGCATTGGTGGAGCCTGCAGATACAGTAGTGCAGTAAGAGAGTAAAGGGCTTTCACAGAGCCATGCTGCATCATCACTTGTGCTTAGAAAATGATTTCCTCTAGTGGTCTATTGAACAACATATTTATTTTGGGCAAAGCAACTAGCTGATGAAAATTCTATTTGACTAACATGCTTTTGATATAATATTTTGCAGTCTCTGAGTTGTAGTACTTTCTGGCTGCTAAAACTTTGGCTGATTAATAGGTATGCTTTTTAATAGTAAAAAAAAGAGCATTTCTGACTCTGCTGAAATAGCATGACTTGCAGAAGAGACCAAATAATTTAAAGCCTTTTCTTTCATCTACTTTTCAGTCGCTTTTGTTTGTCATTGAGATTCAGGGCCCCTAGGATGAAAGAGAGGGAAAAAAGGAAGAAAGGAAAAGAATACCTCCATTTTCCTTAGCTTTGTAGGTGAACGAAAACATCATTCTGACCTTTATGTTTGGAAATTCTCGTAATGAATGTCTTAAGTGCAAGTAAGACGTATGTCACAAATCATTGGGGCTAGAAATAGGGCTGAAAATAGATCTATAGTGACAAAATCCAGGAATAAAATCATGGAACCATTGACATTGCATTCTGTATGCTAGCATGCTAGTGCAGGCATCTTTTATTTTGCTAGAATTAAATTACACTTCAGTTTGTAACTTTGTGCTAATTAATTCTTTTGGAATGTTCATGTAACAGACTTTGCTCCAACAGTTCACCTGTGTAGCCTCCTATTTAAGGCACACAGGAGGCCTGCAGATTTGAGAATCATGGTTTCTGTTATTCCCAGTGCTACACCCTTTTCGTAGCAGTCTGTGGGATCTTTACATTGTGGCCTAAGGGCCCCTTTCCTTGGGCAAATGAAGCTTTCTTTGGTCACTCTCTAAAAAGAGAACTACCCCTTTACATGTACTCCATCTAAATGTGGAGGACACCCTGAAGGGGATATAGCTTCGGTTTCCCTGGACCCATTTGCCTGGAAGAGGAAGAGGCAAGAGAAGTATTTGTGGGGAAAACAAGAAGAGACATAAAATGGCCCAGAGTGTGGTCCCTGCATCTCAGCAGGCTGCCGGTGTTAAGTTTAACACACATCTTTGGAGGTGCCTACGCTCCATTCTTGAGTAAGAAGGATGTGGATGGAGTTCATCAGTCTCCTATTTAAGGTGTTTTATATTAGTAGCCATTTCTAAAAATCTCTTATGTCTTGATCTTAGGAATTAATATTGGGCTCAGTTTTCTAAAACGTTGACCTATCTTTATATTTCTAGTTGAATGCCAAACAGGACTTTTAAAATTAATGTCTTTAAATATTGACATAATCTAATAGTTTGAAGGTACATGATTGTATGTTATATGATTTTTAAAGAGCTGGTTAAATTTGTGAATCTGAATATGCATTGTTTTCAGATTTCTGCTTCTAAAAATAAGTATGTTTGTTTTAGTATATCTAGGATTTGATCAATGCGGACCAGAATTATTAAATAGAACAGTTGCTTACCTATCATATTTTTGGCTAAAAAGTCCTGCCAAGGGGTGATTTATCCCCTTGACACTTGGCATTATCTACTTTTAAAAAATGAACAGAAGATCTTTGGTTATCATGTTGCTACTTTGAAATAATTTAAAATGTTCACCTTTTCCCCATAAATTTAGAATTGATTAACTGAAAGTCAAATATATTTTTCTCTTCGACCCACTTAATAAACTTAACTGTTACAAATATAGACATAACTCATTAAGCCTCATTTCTCCATCTTTAGAAGATGTCATAAGAAAATTTTTAGAACAGATTTGAAGAGAATTAATTTGTGAATATTGAGCCAGCTTTAAAGAGGTTCATCATGTGAGGAAATAAAAGGAAGGTTGCTGCAAGAGTGGTTCCTTTACAGCAATCCAGCATGTATATTCTGAAGCATGGCTAAGCCAACTATTTATTCATAGAGCCTGCTTTAATCTGAGAGCACCTTTTATCCTAAAATGTTAGTGTAAGCTGAAAAGGGTAAACTAAGAATATTTTATAATGTTTTCTGTTTTTGGAAGCTCTTCTATATTCAGTTTTGGCAGTTGAAGAGTGAGTTCTTCAGGACAGGTTCGGGTGTCTACAAAAAACAGCAAACCAACGAGTTTTCACTCCTAACAGGAATTAGTCTTAAAACTGAGTGTCATTAAGTTAAACTTATTACACAACTATAACACTGATATAATCCTTTAACAATCTACCAAGTTAGAAGATAGTGCTTTTTCTCAAAAGTCTCAATAGTTGTCTTTTATGTTTTTGATAATGTAAGTAGGTTTTATTTTATCTTCTTTTTTCCTCACATGAGAAATGAAAATAAAGACCCTGTGAAATGAATGAGCTATGAAAATGCATTTATGCAAAATGACAATAGAAAAATAGCTCTGGAAGAAACTGTACCATTAAAATTTCACATCAATGAAAGGTGCTAAGAGAGGGATGGAAGAACTTATGTCAGTAAAATGAATCTAACATAGAAATTTTCTGCCCTGCCAAGAGTGTCAATGTATCTTAAAAAGTAACCTTAGAGATGACTCATTTTTCTAAGTATACTTGTTATGCTTCTTGATATGTAACCCATTTGCTTGGCAGAATGGCACAAATCATAGATCACCAATTTAAAAATATGTACCTATATTTTAAAGATTAGTGTACGTATAACTATAATTTATAACTACATAACATGTAAAAATAGAAGTTTCAAACCATTTATGGAATCAACATACAATTGTCGAATTGATGATGTTTTTTTCTCTAAGTCTTAATCTACTTTGCTGTATGTTAATAGAAAAATCTATTCTCCTTTGATTTTGGATTCAACGATTCCAGTTGCCTTTGTATATATTTTTTTAACAATTCCCTTTTCAACCAGGATGCTTCAGATATTGGGTTTAAACACACTGTTTCATAAACTGCCAGCCTCCTCGGCCGCCTCAGTGCCTCTGATTCCGTAAATCAGATCATAGGCAGCATGCTGTCATATAATAAGGTGTCTGATCCTTATTACCAGTTTGTTGATGCACAGACTCCTTCAAATTGACCATTGCAACACATGGTTTCCCCTGAAACTAGCTGTGATAATTAGCGTGGTTCTAATGAGACAGAATGTCACTGATCTTGTGCTGAACTGTCGAGTATCGACGCTACGGATGGGAACTGTCAGAGCCTGCCATCTGTGACAGTGCTTGGCATATTCCAGTGGCAAGGTAGAGCATGCTCAATAGAGTATTTTCAAACAAATGGCCCTTTTCTTGATGAGGCCTCTGTTTTCTGTTCAACTGGAAGAATGCATGCCCCAACTCCGTCCTATGTTAAACCCATTCTGAGGTCCAAATTCGAGTAAATATTTAAATCTGTTACGTGTTACATGAGAGAGGAATCTTTTATTTAACAGGTGAATCTTAAGAGGCATTTCTTTCCTTGTTTTTTTGTTTTCTTTTTGGCCTCTCTCAGTTGTCCCATATTGTCAGTTAACAGTAAAGCAGTCATTTAAGATACTTTTCCCCAATTTTAAAATTGCCTTGTTTAGAAGAGATTTGTTGGGGAGTTGGGGATGGCTCTTAGTGATAAAGCAGTCTTATTTAACAGAGGGAAAGGGGAAATGAAAGAAGTAGTTCAGAATGTGTATAAGAATACACAAGTTGGATAGAAGAATTAAAATGGACAAGACAGTTAGATCTGTCGGCTCCAGAGAAAAGTAGAGATTTTTTGCTATAGTAAAAGTCCAGCGCTGCTTATCATTCCAAAATATGCTTTGTTGCTTTTTATTTCCTCCTCTCTGGCAGACCACACAGGGCTTGTTCTGAAGAACATTTTCACTAATCTGATCAGGCAGCCAAATACGCCGGGAAAACTGCTTTAATGATCCCACTAATTACCTCAAGTCAATATGAACTGTATTATTAGACTGAGGGAAAATATTCCATTAGGTCTCCCCCTTGGGAGTTTCTCCGCTTTGTGATGTCACTGAAGCCTTCACCCTCTCGCTTGTAATTAATTTTATTTACACACGCAGGCACGCACAAGGTCACACCTGCACAACCGGCGCTGGCCAGGGAGCTTGTGGCACTCCGGCTTAATCAGATCTGTCATAATTACCATTCTGCATGTTTCTGACACACGCTGTGAAATATTTCAATTTAACTGCCGCTACCAGCACAACCAGATGCAGTGCGAGTGTGGCTGCATTGGAAATATTATTCCTCAGGATAAACTCTCTCCTCCTCCTTTTTCCTCCCAACCCCCCGCCCTTACAGCTAATGTGGCACAGAAGCTGATGTATCCTGTAAATCTTGAATGCAGTGCTAGATTGATAACAGGCGATTAGACAGTTTAACCACAAACAGCTTGTTCATTTTTCACAAATGAAAACCACATGTGGTGTAACTAAAATTTCAGGCCCCCCTTTTTTTTTTTTAAAAAAAAAAAAAAAAAGGTTGGGGTATGTATGTGTGTGTAAGATGTTCTTAAGTAAAAATAAAATGCAATCAAAAGAAGTTATGTCTAGAAAAATGGAGTTGTCTAGTTTTTTCCAGGTTATTTTATCAAAAAACCTTCATCAAATTCCATTTTTATACTTTCACCAAAATTCAAATGAGAAAAAGATTGTGTTCTGTATTGGGTTTTTCATTTTTTTCTGTTTTTTTTTTTGTTTGTTTGTTTTGTTTTGTTTTCGGGAGTAGGGTGCATAATGGTCCTTGATTCTATGCCCTACTGTGTTTTCAGTGTTAAACTGTTTATTTGAACATAAATTCTAAAAGGATTTCTAAGATTGGATATAGAAGTTTTGTTTTGTTTTTAATGCATAGTTGTAACTTTAGGCTTTATAGTCAGATACCAGGCAATCGAAAAGCAAAATGACCCCAATTAGGAACTTTATTTCATAGAGACATTTGCGGATTTGTGTAATTGATTTGAAAGGCAGAGTTGGAAACCCTGAGGATTCTGTTTTTATAGAAATTGGAGGTAACCTGGCAAAATACAGGCACAGTAGGTAACTGTTTAAGGCTAAAGTTATCACCAGTCTCAGAAGAATCCCCTTGTAAAAAATTGGAGCCATAAGAAGGCAGATAAGCTGGTGGAAAACTAAGGCTAAGAGAGGAGGAAGAAATAGGATCAGTGGTGCTTTAGAATCATACCTCCTGGAGCCAGCTCACAACAATCCACTTTAGAGAATATTTAAAACATAGAGAGAGCCTACTTAAATATCCTTTAACTCCAAAAAAATACACTTTTTCTTTTTATCTTTATTTTTTTTTATGACTTCAGTTATGAACCTAGCTTGGAAGTTTCCTAGAATGGTGGTGGTGATTCCTGTTATCTATTGGAGAGAAGGTGTACTTTCCAAGGAATAGTGGGTTTTTTTTTTGTTTTCTTACTCATTTTCCCTCATGCTTAGTAGTTTCCTCATGTCGTGTTTCTTTTTTTTCTTTGTATGATCTTTGCTTCTTACTTTTTCTCTGGAGCTTTCTTCCTACTTAGTCTGGCTATTTTCCATGTGTTTTGTGTTTATCCGTGATGACTTTCAGCTTTAAAATCTAATATTTTTTCTTTCTACTCATAGTTTCTTTTGGCCTAAATATTACTTTAAAGGGAAAATAAAGTACTGTCTTTGCCATTTAGTTAGAACTCTTCTTCCATCTAAGCTGCTAAAAAGTTCACATAGTTAATTTAGGTCATTTGTTTCCCCAGTCTTAGTCTACTTTTTTAGTCATTTTACAAGATGCAGTTATTGTAGAAAATTTAATGCAATCCCCATATCACAACACTCTCCTAATAACTACAGATACCACCTCAGAGTCCTTCTTAACACAGAAGTAAAAATACCCATTGCTAATCAGGGAGATAAACCCATCCCTGCCGTAGTCACTTGTATTTTAGGATTCCCAGAAGGGGGTTTGCTCTCCAAAGCATGGTTGTGTGGGATGAGTCTTAAGAAATAAGAAAAGTGGAGGTAAATCTGTGGTTTCATTGCTAATACCTTTGCTTTAATAACCCGGAAGATTTTTTGCACAGCTACTTGAAGGTATGTTAGGGATAAGCCAGCATGCAAGTTGAATCATATTTTGCAATCCCTGGGTGGAGCTCACCGTTAAAAGGAGTCCTGAATTGTGTCTTTGCAAATGAAAGATTTCACTTGCAAGATAAAAAATTATCCCTTAGTTTTTCATGTTCTCAAACATTTTTGTATATTTGTATTTCTTTGCCTGGCATACCTGTTGATAGAAAAGGGAACAGAGAAGAGAGGGGAAAAAAAGATGCTCTTAGGGATGCTATTGTATATATGGAGTTCAAGATCAATACTTTGAGTACAAAGAGCACATCTTTTCATTAAATTGTATTAGACTACAAGAATCCCACATTTCAAAGAAAATAATATTTTATGGACCCTTCTAGGTCCCTGTCTAATAAGGAGACATTTTTCATTTGTTAACAAGTCACAGATGAAGAGTTAATAGAACTATTACAAACTTTATCTTGCCTCAACTCAATCCACCATCCTCAGTCACTCTGCAATTGCTCTTGTCCAGTGCTCTCAAATCCTCATGAAAATGTATAGGAAGGAAAAGTGATTCCTTTTAATGTTGTTCGTTATTTTCTTTTGGACCCACTGTCTTCATTTTTCATCATTTGTTGAAGTCATTGATATCATTTGCAGTGTAGCCCAAACTGAAAGGAATTAGAGGGCGTGACTCCTGATTTTCTACATAATGTAGAAATAAGGTAATAGGGGCCGGGCGCGGTGGCTCAAGCCTGTAATCCCAGCACTTTGGGAGGCCGAGGCGGGTGGATCACAAGGTCAAGAGATCGAGACCATCCTGGTCAACATGGTGAAACCCTGTCTCTACTAAAAATACAAAAAATTAGCTGGGCATGGTGGTGCGTGCCTGTAATCCCAGCTACTCAGGAGGTTGAGGCAGGAGAATTGCCTGAACCCAGGAGGCGGAGGTTGCGGTGAGCCGAGATCGCGCCATTGCACTCCAGCCTGGGTAACATGAGTGAAACTCCGTCTCAAAAAAAAAAAAAAAACCTAAAAAAAAAAAGAAATAAGGTAATAGTAGCTAATTTGCAAACTCGCCGAGGTTTTGCCTGACAATTTGTACATGAATTGCATCATTCAGGGAAAACATTGGGAATTGCAAAGAGTGGTAGTCCTGATTCCACCGCAAACCGGCTGTGCAGTCCCAGGGAAGCTATTTAACCTCTCAGAGATACTACTTCTTCAGGAAAGTAAAATAGGTTGGGTCATATTGTATCTAATGTCCCTTGAAGTTCCACGTCTGTGTATTTGTGACTGAGACAGGTACACAAGTGTGACTGAAGAAGCTATTTTGATTGAAGACACTCCTGACAGGTGTTCTAGTCTGGGAAACATAAGGTAAGATTTTGAATAATAGAAGGGCTTAGTTTGGGGGGTAGGTGGCAAAGTGATATTTTTGGGTGTAGAGCCAAGAAGGATTATTTACTCATGGCACATAATGGGTAGAATTGATTGTTGGAATCCAATATATGAACTCCGTGTAACATGGTGTGAGTTGAGCTTATGATTGATACACTCTTCATCTGAGACTTGTTGATAGATGACTGGGAACTCTTTCTTTTGTCCTGCAGGGACCTACCAGAGTCAGTACATTATAGGTTATGAGATGAGCTAAATTCCATTGGGGAATGAGCTTGGTTTAACATGTAGTAGGGTGGTGATTGCTAGCTTGGTATGATTTGAAGGTTGCTGAAGAGTTTCCTCTTTAAATATGTCTCTTTTTTTGTTTTTCAATTAATGCCTGAACATCTACCCTTAGCTGCTCTTTTTGTTTTAATTGACTGACTGATAGAAGCTTTTTCTGACAATTAAAGACTTCAATAGCACATTAAAAAGAAAAAAAAAAAAAACGGCAATGTGAGACTAATAGATTGATGAGAAATCACAGATTTGGAAGAGATTAGGGAGTAAACGCAAAGGAAAAGGAAGCAGGGAGTGACAGCTCATTTGAGAGAATATCTTGAAACCCGTATTTGCAAGTTTATAAATTGGCACCTGTAGCATTTAATAGCTGCTGAGATGTGTCCATCCCCAAATGTCTCCTTTAAATGTTTACCCATTTTACTTATGGTACCAACAGGAGTGCTACTTGTCATGTGTGTTACTTGACTGGCTCATTGATGAAGTATTTGGTTGTTTAAACGAAATGCAGATTAGGTAAAAATAAATTACTCTCAACAAGGTCAAGGAAGTGAAGGTTGTAAATAAAATACACATTCACAAACAGACAAATGCTATTTGGAAATTTAGCTCAGTCCTTGCCAAGCTGTTACTGTCTAAATTACCTTCTTTCTTCCTGGCTTGCAATTAATTTTTGCTTATATGTTTGGAGATTGGGGGAAGGGTAATAGCCTAATGGGTAATGATTTTATTTTAGTATTTTGATTAAAGAGACTAAATAGCTTGGACCCTGGATAACCATAAGGACGAAAGGCTTATCCATCAAGCCTAATACCTAAGCAGAAGTTTATGCTTGTATTTCTGAGTAAATTAGTGTTGAGCCACATATAATATAAAGTTATGAGATGGTTATGTGCTCAATTATTTTCTACCTGTCTCCCCCCTTACCGCTTTTTCTACTCACTTTCTTTTCCTTCTTTGATCTTCTGTTAGACTGGAGGACAAGGCAGAAGGCAGCTAGTCAGACAGGCAAAGACTGTATAGCCATGTACTCTTTAGGAAGCAGAGATCACAGCAGGGCCCTGGTATTGATCACTGCTGGTTTCCTAGCATTTGCAGAGCCACTCCCCTCCCTTACCCCACCCACCCACACATCAGATGCCCATGCCACTCTTCCATTCTGTATCCTGCCTCTATCCTGTATCTGCCCTACTACCTATGTCCCTCTATTTGGAAAACCCCTGTGTCTTTGGAAAAACTTGTTGGTGTTCTGGCGGATAGACATTTCTGCAAGGATACTCTGCTAATCTTATATACCTTTAAAGTTACTTGGATGATATGATGTCAATAACCCAGTAAGAATTTAGATGCTTGATTCAGAAGTTGTAAACCCATTCTCTGAGTTTGTAACAGGACCAGGAAAACAGTGAGGTATATATGTGTTAGTGCAGTTGTAAACCAAGAAATTGTCAGCTATAGAACCCCTGTTTAATTAATGAACTGACATATATAAATCAGTTGAAAGTTTTCTCCATTTCGATTGACCTGAGGATTGGGTGGTGGCAGAGACCTTCTCATCAACCCCCTACCCTGCACATACACGATGAGGGTACTTCTGAAACACCTCTGATGGAAACCCAAGACTGCTAAGGACACAGTCTAGGAACCCCTGTGCTAGTGACTGTTTTTCTCTAACCCATCTCTAGGAGGCATGGTCCTTTAGTGGCAAAAAAAAAAAAAGAAATTGGTTTCACAAATCCATAAATAACTAAAATTTTCTAATATATTAGGAACTTATATGAGATAGTCCTGGAACAGTATTTGAAGTGTGTCTATATGTACGTGTGTGTGTGTGTGTACATATGTATTTGATAGCTCTGTATGTATACACACACACACATCTGTGTGGGGTAAGAGGAAGGGCCTCTCGTTTAGGGGTTCTTAACCTGTGGCCTATGTTCTCCCCCAGGAAACCATGAACTTGGATGAAAAAGAAATATGACTTTATTTTCTCTAACTGCTTCTTACTGAAAGTTGGCATTTTATTCAGTTACCAATATAGGCAACAGATCACAGTAGCAATACCTGTGAATTTGTTGCCATTAAAAAAAATCACAAAATATTTTTATATCCTATTATGTTGTTCTAGATATCTTAAAATATCGTTTATGCCCATCACTATAAAATTACAGTCGTTATTAGATCTGTTGCTAAACCTTGTTATTTAGTGTGTTAATAAAGAAGTATATATATTACTGTGTCACATTTTTGATAGCTGTATTTCAGTATAATTGGTTTTCTTTGTAATCTTACGTATTTTATTTCAGGCACATGAAAACACTGGTCTGAAAAGGCATCCATGGGCTTTACCAGACTCCCAGAAGGGTCCATGGCACAAAAGAGATGAGATCAATGATTAGATAAATTTTGTAGAGGAAAAAAAATATATATGTATTTTGTCACATGAGCTGAGGGATTCTCAAATTAACCTGAGAAACATTTGCTTTTCGTTTATTGCTTTTTGGTATGCTTGCTTTTCAAGTGCCCTACACTCCAAAGCATGTAAGCAAGGGTAACAAAAATGCGATGACATTTAAAACAACCACCAAAACAGAAACCTTACAGATAACCTTTTCTGTGATATTCACATGCCCACGTATAGTCCTGGTGGACTTTGTGAGAGAATGCTTTTGCTTTTAGATTAGACATTTTTTCCAATTGAACTATACCTTTAGTATCAACTTAAACCTGAAGTTTAAGTGGTTCTTACCTCACTGGACAAGAAGTTTTGTCCCCATATCTCCTCTTAGTCTGCACAGTGACTAGCACATAGGTGGCACTCAGGAATTGTCTGTGAAAGGATAGAAGGATTCAGAAGCACATTTTAATTAGCTCCCAGTATTACCCTCACAAATGCCAACCTGTTCCAAAGGGAGTCACTGTGGGACAGTGGGAGGAGGTGCTGGTGTGGGCTCACAAGGACAGAGCAGGGCCATGCTCCACTGCTGCCATTCTCCCCTGGAGCCTTTTCTGAGCTTGCTTTCCCCAGATGTAAAATGTGATCAGAGGAGTGATTGAGACAGTCTGTGCAAAGCCCCAGTCTCCCTTGTCTCCTTTTATTGGTAAAATTATAACCCGGTCATTGTCACTGGGACCCACATGATGCGTCTAGAAATATTTATGCTTGCCTTTTTTTAATGCCTACTTGTGAATCACAAGATTTGAGTCTTTCAAATTAAGCCAACTTCTGATTAGCAGGTTTGTATAATGGATAAAATGATGTGGTTTTGGCCACAAAATGGGTGTTACTTTATCAGGAAAATCATAAGCAAGTTGGGAGCTCATAGTGACCCTGCTTGCTTGATTGTTCCTCTTAGGATGTGATTCCCATAACTTTTACAATCCCAAATGACTTCCCCTTGTTTCAAAAATTATTTGTTATCTCTCCTAAAACATAGAGGGAATATTTAAAATTTTAATTCCCAGCCCCTAAATATGCATAGTAGGGACTGTAACTCATTTTAGGAGATGTGCAGTTTGAAAAGTTTTACATAAATCAATTAAAAATGCAGTGGCAGAAATATTTGTCTAAATCAACCTGTTAGTAAATTATTTTTGTAAGCACACAAACCACCCTGTCAGGTAAATTGTCACCTTAAAATTACTCATTTTATGATTTCTTATATGTATGCGTGGGGTTTGGGTTTGGGTTTGGGTTTGTTTTTGTTTTTTGTTTTTTATTTTTTTTGCACATGGCATATATGAATATTCAGCAATGGTTTTTCTTAATGACCTTCATTATTTTGAATAGGAAAATAAATATCGTAAATTTTTAATAGTGACTTTAGGAAGCAACATAATAAATTTGCTTCATAACATTGCAATATGAGAGCACATATTCATTTGAGTTAAGCAATTTAGGAAAAGTAAAGTTTCTTGTTAAAAATTCTGTTTTTAAAGAAAACAGTAATTTTATTTTCCTTTGACAGAAGATCTTTATAGTGCCCGCCTACCTTCTTAAACCTATTATGCTGAGCTCAGTTTGAACCTTACTTTTTGTTTAAATACAGCGTCACTATGAATACAAATTGTTGGACTTTGCTGCTATACACGAGCTCTCAGAAATTGCAGAGGTGTATACAGTTTTTTACCACTAACTAAATGGCCCAGATTGGGCCATTTTTGTATCTTTCTGGGTACCCCCCATTTGCTGCCACTTGAGTTTGTTGTGGTGAATCTTTTGCCACAAAGCGTTCACTCATTGAAGTGTGAGCCTCAGGGTGTTTCCAGGCATTTTGGGTGAAGGAAAGTGAAGAGTTTGCCACACATTTGTTTGTGATAAATGTAACTCAGATAGCAGGGCTGGGGGTGGGTTGGGATAAAGAAACCCATCAGAATTAGATTATCGAAGAAACGCTGTGGGACTGAACCACAAATTCAAGAGATGTTTGAGGGAGTATTGACAGGAATTAATCAGTTATGGGAGAGACAGACAAGAAAAGTTAGATTTTTAGTTAAAGCCACTTTGCTATGTATTTTTATTACAAAACTGATACATAGCCACTATAGAAAAATAAGAAGATAAAGACATAAGGAAAAACGTAGAATTACTGGTAATTTTAATCACCTAGAAATGACCATTTTAAGGATCCTGATTTACGTACTTTATACAACACACACACACACACACACACACACGTACATGTATCTGTCTGTATGTATATATGTGTGTTTGCATGTATGTCTTACATTTATTCATGGGCTGCAGATACCATTTAATTTCCTATTGATGTGTATTTAGATTATATTCAACTTTTGCTAGTATAAATATGAATGTAAACATCATTATAGTTAGATATTTATACACATCCTTATTTCCTTAAATTCTTAAAAGTGAAATTATTGGATCAAAGAAGGCATTTGGGTTTTACAGATGATTGCTGGACATTTCTACATTCTGCAATTCACGATGTCCTTCAGAAAGACTATACCAATTTATGCTTCAAATAACAGCCTTTCAGCCTAGGTGATTGGGTTGTGTGGTAATACTATTAACTGAGTAAAACTTCCTAGGAGGAGAACCTGGCTTTGGCTCAGATTGGAATATTGTAACTGAATTATTTTCATTAGCTCCCTTGACATTGAAATCCCCTGTGTGATAATGACAACAACAATAAAATAATAGTAGCTGATATTCATCATACTATTACTGTGTGCCAAGCCCTTTTCATGAATTATTTTACTTAATTCTTACAACCCTATGAATTAAGTGGTAAATAGACCCCATTTATAGAGCAGCAAATTGAGGTTTAGCAAAATTGAGTCATCTGCCCAAGGTTACAAGGCTGATGATAAATGGTAGAATAGATACTCCAGTTAAAACCCAGGCTTAACTAAGATCTTAACAAATAGATCTTAGAAGTCCATTAGAGGAGATGAGGTTGCAGTAACTAAGTAGTATCCTCAAGAAAATATGATAAAGAGCTATTTTTTTAAAAAAAGGGTCATAAGCAGTGAGTTCAAAAGCACTGGTCTGTCTGTTTTCCCAGATTCCTGCCAATTCATCCTGTTCTGTTATTTGTTATTCTTCCTATTTTATATATTGCTCCCTTTTCAAATCCAAGCCAGCATCTCTCTTCATCAATGAAGAGTTCCTTGACAGCCCTACCTCAGCACTTCTCCACGTGGATCCCACTTGACGTCTGCCCATCAGTGACCTTTATCACATGCTATCTTGCACTAATAGTTATTTTTGAATACCAGGTCTTTCAAAATGTATTTGGAGACATTTAAGGCAAGTGCTTTCAGTAAAGTTTATAAGACCTTTGGTGGTTACCATGGAGCAAGCATTGGGCTGAATGTATTCTGTTTCATTTGTACTGGCTAGTATCCTGTGAGATTAATACCATTATTACCTGCAGTTTGTAGAGGAAGAATCTGAGGCTCAGAAAGGTTATTTGTTCAAGTTCACATAGATAAAAGCCTATATGGGATATAATCCTTTTACTGGTATACAGAAGTGCTTGAGCGTGCCTTGAAAGACAAGTAGTATTTGAAGGGACACCAGGAAGAAGGAGCAAGGGCTTTCCCATTAGAGAGAATTGTGTGAGGAATGGAGAATAGAATGTAAGGCAGTGTTTGGCAATAGCTAATAAATAGTCCAACAAATTTGGACATCAGTGTCATTGGGAAGAACCTCAAAAGCAGCCCCTGGGAATGTGAACTTTTCTCCCACCTTGGGAAGCCACTGAAGGTCATAGCGAACAGTAGGGTAACTATGTGCAGTTTTTTTTTTTTTTTTTTTTTTTTTTTGAGACGGAGCTTTGCTGTTGTTGCCCAGGCTGGAGTGCAATGGCGTGATCTCGGCTCACTGCAACCTCCGCCTCCTGGGTTCAAGCAATTCTCCGGCCTCAGCCTCCCGAGTAGCTGGGACTACAGGCATGCACCGTCATGCCCAGCTAATTTTTGTATTTTTAGTAGAGACGGGGTTTCACCTTGTTGACCAGGATGGTCTTGATCTCTTGACCTTGTGATCCACCCGCCTCGGCCTCCCAAAGTGCTGGGATTACAGGCTTGAGCCACCGCGCCCGGCTATGTGCAGTTTTAAAGTAGAAGACTAATATAATTATTCTCATTCTGGGATCCCATTTACAAGGATATCACAAAGATGGTTAAGAGTATTCAAGAAAGCTTAATGAAACCTGTTTCTTTACCTGTCAATAAATTTCATAGGCGAAATTAAACATTAGGTTA